CCCGAGGCTCCGCCCGCAGGAAACCGTGTTCCCACCAATCCCGTGACCGGCCGTCCAGCACCGACCGATAGGGGCCGTCCAGCACCGACCGCTAGGAGCCGTCCAGCCCGGCCTCTGGTCTGGGCCTCGGTTCTGCGTTCAAGGCCTTGATTTCGCGGCCAGCCCCTCCCCCACGGGAGCCCTTTCCCTCGCCCCCGGGGCCTCGGGTCCCCTGTCCCACCCGTCCCCCGCCCGCGCTGACCGGTGCTCTTGTCCAGGAAGTCCATGGACTCCTCGCTGGCGCTGAAGTGGCTGGAGGTGGCCTTCTTGTCGGCGTCCTGCTCCACGTCGGAGCCCGTGTGCACCGAGGAGTTGGTGCTCATGGGCGAGCGCGGCATGTCCGACAGCGAGATGCGGCGGCCCGCGCCCGCGCCCAGCAGGGGCTTGCTCATGAGGATCTTGGGCGAGGCCGTCATGTCGAAGTTGAGCTTGACCTTCTCCTGCTTGTCCGTCTTGGCCGTGCCCGCGCCGGGGTTGGCGGGGTCCAGCAGCATCTGGTACTGGCTGTTGGGCGTGTAGGGCGTCCTGAAGGGAGAGTAATTGAAGACCCCGAACCTCCTGCGGATGTTCTCCACGTAGACCTCCATCTCCTGCATGGCGCTGTTGAAGATGCTTTTGGTCTTCTTCACGGAAAAGGGAATTTCTTTAGACATGAGGTAGCAATTGTTTATTGGAACCCAGGCCCTGGGAGGGCAAAAGAGAAAGAAAGTTCCAGTCAGATTCAGTGATTTGCAAGACTGTTTTTTTTTTTCTTTTTTCTTTCCTGAATACGAACCAAATTAGCCTAGCATGTTTGCCAAGATTCTTAAATACTTACTCTCTTTTTAAATAAATGACTTGGTTTCAATGTTTAATTAACGATCCACTCAACAGGCATGTTCTGCCACAAGGACAGAACACAGAACAGCAAAACTCAGCAAAGACAGTAAAAGGCTCGACAGTCTTAGTCATTTTAATCCATTAAACACACACACACACACACACACACACACACAC